CCATCATGCGCCACGAATCCGCAGATTGCACGCAAACATTGGGCTGAAGCAGTTGACTGCGAGACAAGAACTGATGTTATTTTCTTGAACTTACAAGTGCGTTCCATCGCTTGAATCATGTTATCCTACTTCACAAGTTTCAGCGATATGGCATCGGAGAGCCAATATTGGAGTGAATCGTTAACTTACCACGAACAGCAATTGGAAGTTAGAGTCTGAACATCTTTGTCAGAGCCAAATAGATTCGAGTGCGTTTCGGTACTTTGGCCTCGCTTGTGCGCAGTTTTCATTAAGGATCTAACGAGAGTTATTACTTCAAGAATTTTACTTTCCGCAGACGGTAAGATTTGACGCACGACCAAGTGATGGCCAATAGTTATCTGTTGAGCATTCTGTAACGAAGTTCGGCAGGTCGCAGACGTTTATAGAAAAAACCTGAAGATTTTCAGGTGTCGCCTATGTTCTGCTGCAACACAGCGCCCCCTGCCACGTTTGAAGTGTCGGTAGTGAGCGTCAGCGGGGCTGGCGATTCGCGGTGCGCTATAGTAGCAATTATGGCGATAAATTCTTATTAAGATTTGAATGAAGTGCTTTCTGTAGTAGGGAACTCGAATTTCTTGAGCTTCCATTGGAGACGGTCCGTGGGGTGCTGCATGGGCGGTATACAATTAGATATGAAGGGGTGGTAAAATTTAACAAGCTCGTTAAAACATCTCAGCTGCTTGAACGCATGAGGCACAGAGTAGGCGATGACGGCTTTTGTTTTACCTGCAACTACACGACGCCTTAGTGGGGATGCGATAGATCAAATAATTTACTGGATCTGCACCACACCAGCACACATCTCCTTTGATCGTCAAGGCTTTTTGTCGTAAAAGGTCGTTAAATACAATGCATATTTATGACGGGTTAATTGGAGGGTTCGCCAACCCCCCCAGCTGAGCAGAGTGATGGTTATGAGACGCATTTTAAATGATGGCATTGATAAAGAAAAAATATTCTGATTTTTAGGTGACTTACCCCAACTATTCAGGTTTCCTCACCGTTACCTCACAACGGGTCCTGGTGGTCAAAATTTGTTGCACGTTATTTCGTCTTCCATTTGAAACTAGTTTACCACTTAATGGAAATGGTATAGATCGCCGAAAAAACGTTCTGAAAAGCAATAGTGTACAGGCAATTATGACGTGTTTTGTAAAAGCGTTCAATGTTCGGGACACTAAGTGTGAGAAAACAATCTTGTCGACTATCAGGTCAACTGTACTGCGTGGCAATTTTGGGCTGGTAACCTCCCAGGGTAGCATTGCGGCTGAGTTGCAACAGATCACAACAGGTGTTATTGAGGTTCACCAGTATTAGGTTAACAATAATGAAGTCTCCTAGCTGACACCGATATTCTGCTGTACAATCCAGGGGCCTGTGTTCTGAGTTTGTGGGGAGGTGCAACTGTTCCCTAACGAATTCGATCGCCTACGTTTGAAGTTTCAAACGCGTCAACATGATGTTTGCCGCAGGAAGGCACAGCCGCTTTCTGACCGAAAACATGCATATCATCCTTCCAACTGGAGTCCTTGTTCCACAGCAAGGCCGCGAATCAGCAGGCCAATAAATTGTGTTACCAATGATGTATAGCTGACTTAACCGTGACTGTCACAAACGATGTAGTTAGCCTTCCTAAATACTGTTAATATGATCGACTCATTGGGACTGATTGATACAATGTCCTTCCCCTCGACTTCTTTAAGCAGATGGGTTAATTCTTTTCATATGGCCTCACTACCATCCTTAACGAACTTTTGCAAGAGGGAATCCGGATTGACAGCACCGAAACGGTTGTGTTATTGCCTACTGTTGAATCGCGGTTTTTAATACAGTTTGCCAGCTAGCCGTCCACTACTCAATATGCGCCACGTAAGCAGTCAACGGTTCTTGAATAGGATATTATTTGAACTGCTTTTGGAAGTTCCCTATCCAAACGACATTTTCATTGTAATTTGAAGCGCCGGACTGTACTTGGCCGTCTAACTGACCTACAATATCCTGCAATCAGTGACGCAGAAGCGTTAAACGCTTTTGTGTAATTTACCCACTGCTGTTACCTTTTGAATTTCTTGGACCCTTTACGCACTAGTCATTTTGTGGGATTCGTTTTATCTCGCTCCTGGTAGTCCATCTGGTCACATTGTGCTTGGTGCCAGTATGAATTCTGTAGCCAGCTTCCGTTCGATTCATTGGCCTTACAAATATCCATTGTCCTGTGCAGAGGGTCCCGCTCTGTCTATGATAGCGGAAATTTTATTCAAACTAACCGTTTACACAGTAATTTAACGAAAGCATTGCTTGTGAGACATCTTGACCTAGTTGTCAAACCATGGACTGACGTATCCTGTAAACAACAAATTCGATTGGGGTTCGAGTGACGCGTAAAAACACCCTGTTCAACCAAAAAAGGAATCCGAAACGTTTACCACATAGTATTGTTTGCTCGCTTTCAAGTGAAGCACAATGAAAATAAGCAGTGGACTGTGACTTGCTCATTATCGTTGTACGTGTTCCAACACAAGCGATACTTATCGTTTGCCTCCCGATACGTATTGTGACCTGGTCTATCTGATTTTATCACTTCCTGTGTCTGATGATAGCACATCGGGATCTATCAGGCTTAAAGACATTGACCACTGTTTGAAAACGTCCGATGACAAGCGCGTATTTGAAACAAACAATCATCATTGGCTGTGCGCTCTGAAATAGGCTGACAGTTAGCACGTCTAATAGTCTTCGGAACTTTTACGGCATACTTCAGAGCTCATATCCCCCGCGATTACAGCCATATGCGAATTGGTAGCGTCAATAACTTCGTAATATCTGGAGTTCAATCAGTCACACCATTCGAGTGTTGGGTAACACGGGACTTCCACTTGGCAGACTGGTACCATTGCGACAACTAAAGTGGCTGGGCCACGTTTTACGCAAGCCATGCGAAGGGCTGCCCCGACGCGCTCTCTTCGCTCGCATAGGACTGGGCTGGAAGAAACCGCGTGGGGTCAGCCTATCACGTGGCGACAGACGATTAAAGCGCTGACTTCCAGTTTGGCTGTCGTAGGTTCTGTGCGTCTTCCGGGCTGGGGGATCAAAGATGAAGTACACCGCTCGTTGGAAACTCTTTCAGAGATGGCACAGAACCACGCTCACCGGAAAATGTGTACAAATGTTTGTCTTGATTTGATTGATTTACTTCGCAAACATTAAACAGACAACAAAAATATAAAACAAAAAATAAGAAAAGACAAGATATACAAAAACTTCTTTGCAACTTTTATTTATTTCGTTGTGGTCTCTGTATTGATTACTTCCGTTTCATGATTTTCGCTGGCTCTCTGTCTGTCTTACAGATCGCTGATAATATATATATATATATATATATATATATATATATAATTCGCGGGGATCTTGAGCTAACAGCATTTGGCTCTACTCAGTACATTAACTCTAGATGTCCACGCAAATGCTGACAAGGCCCCTGATCATCCAACCGTACCAGCAATACTCGAGACGTTTCCAGAGTGTTGTCAGTATGAGGTCGAATTGCTTTCATATCGTACCTAAGAGCAGAAAGCTGTCTGATCAGGGATCGGTCTACGGCTCAACCATACGTTGTTTAGCTCTAGTACATACCTTTCACTAATATCACATAAATCCTTAACTTGTTGTTATCCGTTCCGTGCACGTCGAACGCTCACAGAATGTGCGTGGGCAATAGCTATACACGCTTAATCCGCAGTTTCTTCCCATTCTTCCCACTGCGGCACATTTGCGTGGACTGTCTTACCTCTAAGTGACACGTGTTGTAGGAGTGTGACTTGGTCTCGATGACATTGTAGTCTCCCTCCATGTTGCTTCCAGTCTTTCTCATTCTGTTCTGCACTTTAGATGGGCGGTGTTGTCGCAGCCGTTAGTGAGACAGCCCAGTTCACTTATGGTTAGTCCACGGACGCATGTTAAAAGACTGACAGCATCGTAAAAACCCGGTAAGCGTTTGTCAACCTGCAACACTTGGGGATCGGTTGAGATATCTTTTTCTTTGTAAAGGCACGTGTTTACAATGCCACGGTTCGGGCGGTGTTGCTATATGGCAGTTCGCTTAGATGGCAGGCGCCGGCTCTCGACCTTCGATAATGGGTGCTTGAAGGGAATTGCTCGTGTGTGGTTACAACAAGGTAAGGTCAGCTGCTGTGTCTTAGGGAATGCGAGTGTTGCCTTCAACAAGCTGGTTTTGCTACGTCCGTTAAGATGGCTCAGCCATGTCGTGCATATGTCAGCTCAGCGTTTGCCCTATTGCGTCCTTTTCGCTCGTCGAAACTGGGCTGGAAGAGACCCCGCGGTGATCAGCCGTCCACCTGGTATCAGCATGTGAAATCGATGACTTTACGTCTTCCTGCCATTGGATCCACACGTCTGCCTGGTTGGGGTGCAAAGAACGAGGAGTGCGGATGGCCGGAAACAATTCAGGGTATGGCGTGCAATCGAAGCTAGTGGTAGACCTGTTTACATACTTGTTTACATTCAGATGCTTAATGCCTAACAACTGAAAAAGACAGAAATATAAAAATGGCCTATGCAAAATAACAAAAGATGCTGCGTTTTGTTTATTTTATTGCGGAACAATAGCTGAGGTATGTTGCTTACCTTCAGCTAATGTGCCATGATGATGATGCGATGGTTAAATCTGTCTTCTTCCAGTGATTTTCATGGGTTTGGCTCTACGTCTATTCGATAGACTGTTGCTTATACTACTGCGTCCACTCATCGGTGGACAGTGGTTGCCTTTTTTTAATTCTTTGAAGCACAATGTATACCTCTTTCTCAATATAACGGGCATAATATTTTGGATAGGAGAAAGGGGACATCTGTACTACTTTATCAACATTTTCTACTTGTCAATTGATTGCTTGTGTTCAGGGCCCACTTAAGGCTTATTCGTATTGACATTTCACCTCTAGCTTTCCTTTATCCCCAACGGTATCACACAAGATTTGAGCGTGGTGTGTCAAGTCTCAGAGGCCGGTTCGGAAGTCGACGCCACTAATTTGCTGCAAAATCCTTTGTGCCTTGCACCCGCGAACATCAGTGAGTTCACGTTTATGATACATCAAATTCGTTCCTGAAAGCCAAACAGTTTCCTAACCTGAATCGTATGCGCCTGCTTCTCCTCATAAATCTCTGACGTTTGAGTCTGATGGCACTGCGTCCAGCGATGCTCCAGTCTCAGCACTTGGTGTTTTTCGGCTGCGATTCGTTCGTCATTATGCGTCGGTTGTTGTTGTTTTCAACCTATACTTGGTGAAGTTGTTATTGTGCACCCAGCCTGTGAAAAACACCGTTTGCGTTTTTCCACGGCTGTCTGAATAAGCAAATTCATAGTAAAAACCTTTCATGTGCTATATTGCAAGCAATCGGTTGCGCTCTGTTTCATATCTATGGTTGTTGTTGTTGTTGTTGTTGTTGTTGTTGTTGTTGTTGTTGTTGTTGTTGTTGTTGTTGTTGTTGTTGTTGTTGTTGTTGTTGTTGTTGTTGTTCGAACAACAAGGTTTGGTCGACCGCACTGGTGATGCTACAATGAAACTCCTATCGTCAAGTTCGAAGTGGAAGTCATCCTGAAGTACTTCATATCTGTGTTTCAGCGTAGGTGATCTTACGGAGAAGTTGAATGGTGACGCGACAATAAGCTGAAGGAAGGCTACGAGCATCATTCGACTACAAGAAAATCTGGCTAGTCAGTTAGATAATGCCACCTTTTACTTTCAAACAGACGCTGTTCACGAGGTTAGCGGCAAATGCCAATCGTGTAGGGCCAGCAAATACCGGTTTTGATGTAGCCGCCTAATCGTTCACGGATAACAGAAAGTGTGTGCACTTGAGTCTAGCCGCCCAGATGCCTACAGCATGGACTGTGGCATGGAGCGCTGAAGAGAGCAACAGTGAATGTCAGCACAGTAACATCCAGCCGATAAGTGACAAACATACACAAACGAAAATGCGCATAGGGTTATTAGGTAACAAAACAAGAGCAGGTGTAATAAAAAGGGACACTAAATGTTCTAGATATCTCTAATGAATGTTGTCCCAAACGGTGCTCCCCTGACCCGAATCCATCGATCTAATGCTAGCATAACAATGACACGTCAGTTGCCCTGGTAAGCCGTGATAGTCATTCATCTTCACGATGGACGCAGCCACCTGCTCAACACGATACGGACTGCAATGTCTTAGGTGTAGAGCAGGCATTCACTCCGGATTTCACAATTGGAAATCTGGGGCGAGTTAATTTAGACGATGGTCGATATGAACTCCTAACTTAATGAAATCTGTGCTGTCTCTACCGGGTTCACCCTCCTTCGGATCACACCTAACATCCATGCTGGAAAACCGATGCGATAATGGAGAACTGCTTTGTTCCTATTTAGCTTAGTGGAAAGTAGTTTATTTTTATCCGCTTATGCCCCAGCTAGCTACTACCAGAAAGCTACGGTCATAAGGGCCTCCAAGTGGAACCATAACTAGTAAAATACTGTTCCAACTGATACTACTGGATGTGCTGGGTAGGACCTCTAGCTTCGTTGAAAATAAGTAGAAAGGTATGCATCAGCGGTGCATCAAATGGCAGTCTGAAGTTCAGCCTCATTTGTTGAGAGCGCGCGCCTCATCGTATTACTTGTCGAAGATCGAAAGCTAACTGAAGCTGTGATAAGTGACAGGAAATGTTGCACCCGTTCAACACTAGGAATGGAATACACTGAAAGTTCAATTCCAGTGCTATATGCGATGACGGCAAAACAATCACAAACTGGCATTTATTTTTTGCTACATGTGCTTTGCCATGGATAGTGGCTTTCCACGCTCCACTCTCTAGCGAACATGACTTCCTGCAGTTCAATCTGATCGACACATCTTTGTTGGTAGAAACGGACGCGGTTCCCTGTGTTTACACCAAGATAAGCATTCACGTTTAGTTATTCAAACAGGGATGTACACCTTTTGGAAAGTATGCAGCCCCAGTTATTTTACATAGAGTTGTTGATTTGTTGAACGGTATTTCTTACAACTGCGCATCACTGAACGACTGTTTGGCTACAAGATGCACAGGTGCTATATGTCTCTGGACAGGCTAGCGTAAACTAAAAACGTCCAGATGTCAAGTTAAGTCAACATAGGCTTTATGAACCCTAATGTGTTCATTTTCAGCATTTACACTACCACTGCGGACACCTGGATGATGATAGTATCAATATACATGCTTGGGGAGAAAAATGGGAGATATGCACAACTGTTACTCCACCAACCGCTCGCATAGCATGTGAGTGACTTTCACTGGGTCAACAAGCAAACGTGAAAGATGCATATTCTTGGGGTGTTTTTGACACAGTCTAGCGCGTTGATAGAAATGGCGCAAACCTAATTAATATGTTCTGTACAGACCTACATACTAATGAACCATAAACTGAGGCCGAACTTCCCTTGATTTCATTGTTTTCTCTTGGGCTTTGTTTCTTACCTCATTAACAGATTCCACTTGCATGTTCTTTACCCTTATAGTAAGGAAAGCCATATATATGAAACGCGGACCAGAGCGATAAAATTGCTCATGTGAATTCAGCCCTTCCCACATTAGCTTTCCCTGTTCCCCTCCATTTAGCCTATATTGGGAGTTTCTTCGCATTGCCTTTCAAACCAGATGGTACTCCATTTGGCCTGAAAAGCATTAGACAGCCGTCTATATCTGTCTCGTACGGTCAATTGTGTGCATCTGTCGGGTCCAACAGGATTCGAACTCCGGACCGCTGGCGACTTGTATTGCCAGTAAGTAGCAAATGCCCACTAATGACGAGACCCAACAGGTCCAGAAGGTTGTGTAATGCCTTTCCGGTCATTTGGAGTAATAGCTGATTTGAAATCTACTGCGAAATAACTTCCTGGTTACATTTTCAACGATCCATTTTCAGATAGGTACAATGGCACAAGTTATTCTCTGTGATGTTAAGGCACTTCAACCAATGAGCCTTGAGGGTGGGAAAACTTGTTTACTTCCCTACGAACTGTAGTCCACTCCCTTCTTCTTTATTAAGTTACGATAGTAGTATTGAACGCTTTTGCCTATCGACGAGTAAGATTTCAGTACGTCAGCTGGGCGCGTGGCACCATGCCTGACACGCTCAGTCGCCTTCCAGGTCGAAGCAAGGTAACTGCGACTGGTGAGCCAACAGAATTCCTCAATAATATGCGTTACTTGGTGGAAACAACCATTCTGCGCTATTTGGTGCGATGCCGAACACACCGGAACCTAGCACTATCACTAGTGAATCGGCCTGTATATTTGAAAAATGAGCCAAACCTGCGCAATTGGCTATACAGTGCTATTTCCTACCTGAAACCGTAGAATACACCAAATGATTCTCTTATGGCAACTTCTGGGTGGAGAGCAAATGTGACACGATCCAGTTCGAACATATGTTCAGGTATTTCGTTTTTAACCACTTATATTTCTTTTCCTTCTTAATGGGTAGACAACGTTTCTTCGCTGTCATGCGGCGTAGCTGCGGGAGTCAGGTATTTGTTTCCGTCTAAAAACACCATGTCTTGATTCCATGCCATGTCCTGCAGTTTCAACTAAAATTTGAAATTATATACTCCAGTTTTGTTCCTCTCCAGGTCAAGAGGTTACGGCTTGGAAAATCAGCCCAAGTAACTTGGACTTAAAGGTAAGTCGCTGATGAGACGAGGCGTGATAAACATTCACCGAGGAAACATAAATACTCATTACGGTTACTTGAAGAGTTCGTATGCAACCTAGACCAGTGCCTCCTCAAATGTATATGTTCCTATCTTTCATCCCCACCCGCCGAGCCTTCATCGACGTGTCACGTGTTAAATCTCAAACTTTTTCCAAACCGATCAACTCTTATCGTGGCTAGCTGCTTCTCACGATTCCATTTATGTGTAAATGATGCAGTTACTTCCTTCAGTCTTGGACCTACTTTCAGGTTTTGCTGAGATGCCATTTTCTTTCAGTCGGCTTTTATTTTAAAATACTGAGTAATGTAAACGGTAGCATCACCTAGTTTCGAACGCTATGGTTATAGCGTCTAGTGAGAGGAAGTCATGACCTCGGATACCGTCGTGTTGCCATCCGTTTATCAAGATTACGCTCGATTATTTATAGAGTATATACACTATTTACAACAGTCCGTTTCAGTGCCTCAACCCTGTTATTTGCATTGTGTCGCCGGCTTCTTTTCCATTAGTTTATGCTTGCTCGCCACCTCCACTCTGTCTAAAATCACCTTGATTTTCTTAGTGGATGTACGATTGGCGGGATTGGGTCCGCGCGCTTCTTCCCTCGGTCCAATACCACAAGCCTTGGCTCAAGGGTGCACGAATATGCGCTCCTTCACCTGCTGGCGCCTGATTGGTCACTTGCACGTTCAGTGGATGGTTGCAGGCTGGACGCGATCACGGGCCAACTATTTCCAATCTGCTTCCAGCAACATGCTCACTCTCTATCGGTCTGGCCTGTGACATTCGGTCGGTGTTACAGCATTTCCAATCACTAGCAGTTCCAGCCCCCAGCACAGATACTAGCCACTATCATCTGCAAAGTTAGTAACTTGCGTAGCAGTGGAAGACAGGCCATGCTATATCCCAGTTAGCTTGCAAGTTAGCTATCCCAACCACCGTTCCCCATGGCTTAATGGCTTAAGTTGCTGGCTAGTTGGCATCAGCCCATAGCGGCCATGGGCTCGATCCCCAGTAGGGGACCAAATAAATGAACACCATTGAGGAGCGCCAATAGGGCGAAACGCGTTTGGTGCCTTTCCGGATTGGATTGTGATATGTAGCGTATGAGCTGCTGGGACGCATACAATAAAATTTGTGAAACATCAGACTGAACCGTGAACTGCTAAAGCGACTCGGAGTACACCTTAAGACCCACCGTTACGTAACTCATAGATGAGCAGAGTCGAATAAATACATCATGAGCTCCATTTCGACTTCAGTCCAGTTTTGTTCCGAAAAATCTGAGTCGCGGATTGAGATAGCTCCAACATCCTGTGATCACAACTTGGTAATAGTAAAACAACGTTAAAACAAAAACAAATGCTAAGTCTGACTGCAATGATCATTTTAAGGGCTGCTTGTGTGTGAATGGATTGCGACACTCAGTCCCAACCGGGACTTGCATTGAAAGCAATACTGCTCAGTTTGGTCACTGGGACTGTAGGTGAAGCAGTGATGGGACTGTCCAAGGTTCACTACAACGTGAATCGAGGTTCACACTGAGATTGTATCGCAATCCAATCACACAACCTCCAATCAGCCATAAACCTTTGTGACCAGCGATGCGTCTTGATCCGGTAGCTGAACGGTTTCCGGCTAACATCTCAGAGGTCCCGAGGTGGAGTTCCTTTTATCTCTACCTGATGAGATAAAATAAAGGTAAAACTTGTCGTGGTGTACGGTGCTTTCGGGCAAGTAATACCAAATATCCAAATGATAAGTCATTCAGAAGTGGACTGGAATATAACTCTCCAGTCTTTTGTGGAGTAAATAGAAGCCACTGCCTTCCAGATGACCCAGAGATAGATGTAGGTTCCAACAAGTGATTACTCGCATCGCGGGATTCAAATCCAGGGACACAGTACTTACTGATGCATCCCATTTACATGTTTACATTTTTCCATGTCGTTTCATCCACTGGCACCATCATTTCGCCCAGCCCATCATAGTGCCGGGAAATCCCACGCGACTAAGGGATGCGTCTCGTGGACAATCGAACAGCGGAACCCAACTAATGTCATTGCTTTCTATTCACCAAGTGATCTTATGCTGCTGCAGATTGTATGCTGCTGAAGATCCACAGGGCAACCTAGCCATTACTCAATCGGCTATCCATCTAGATCAGATCCTCACTTCGTAGCCACCGATAATGAAAAAAGTGTAGTCAGTGGATATCTTTATGTGTAGCAGTCATGGCATCGATCGGACATTAACACCAACTGTTGTGTAGTGTTGCAGAAATTATATTTAACCGAGAACACCCTGTAACAACTACGCTCATTTATACTTTAGTTAGGAGGGTGTCTGAGGTCGACGATACGGTATCTCCGGATATGTTCTTCAATCGTCAGCGGTAACTAGAAGCACTTTAAACAAACAAACAGCTACGTTTGATTTCCCACTCAGCTGAAGTAAGTGGGGCTCTGATAAGCAACATGGACTTTCCTGCTACAGTCGATAATTGCTCGGGGTGGGGTGGCTAGCCACCACAAGTAAAATGTCTGCTGAACAGGTGTGCCGACGGGCAACTTCACGTAACTCTTCTACGAGTGCAAGGACGGTGGTAAAAGCTGCAGTGTGGCCCAGTAAAAGTAATTTCCCCACAGATGCGAAGCACTTACCAAAGAGGCTGACAACCATTTTGCCTGCAACTGCATTGAAGTAAGGGCAAATATGACATGTCTGGCATATGAAATTTTGGCACCTACTTGGAATCGATCGAAATCTTAAGTTCAGGGAAGTTTGAAAACAACCGTTTGATGTATTTGTCTGGTTACGTTTCGCTTTTGACACAAAGCTTCGTCAGACCAGATGAATCAATATCCAGTTGGAACAGCGTTTTACAGTGTACCACGACAATGGTTGCGATAAGCCAGACATGAGCCAAAGCGTTATCACAATTGCAGATCGGAATTTCATCTCAAGTGTTTCTCTCTTAGAGCAAGAATAGTCCGGGTGCTTCACTTTGCTTAAGCGCATGGACAACTAAACTCTTGGTTGTGGTAACGAGAAATCGAATTTTGCTTTCCAAACCCTTGACTATAAATGTAAATGTAAATACATAGGCCAAACTACGAGAGAGCTGCGTATACGAATTTAAGAGCACAAAAATCTCATTTCACGGCCATCGACGAATGAGTTCGAACACCGGGCATTATTAAGTGACTAAGCTGTACCTGTAAATTCTCTAGACACAGGTCAATAGATCGACTTAAATAATGTAGAGATCATTAGAATGGCTACGTGAGCAACTCCTGAGTGGCTGATTACCGAGATGGCGAAGTTCACCAAAGCCGACTGCCGCATGAATGGCATTGAGAAGATGAAAATCGCAAGGGAATGGCGCTCGATTTTAATCCGGCCAGTCTGATGAGCGTCGGTACGTGGACCCAGCCGAAGACTACAACTCGACTCCCCATCAACATCACCATGGGTTCAGCTTCCATAGCACCGCTTTTGCTGCCTGCTAGTCGCACGTTGGTGCGCTTACCGTTTCTTTGCTATTACTCTGCCGCAATTTTGTCGCACATCAATCTACCTATAGTTAACCGTCTTGCTTTTACAAGCTGCACCTCGTGATACCGCTTTCACAAGAACACTACCAGTACACCCTACATTTACCCTGAACTTCAAATTCCTGACAGTGTTCCACCGGTATTCACGTGCACAAATACGTGGGATTCCAACCATTGGAGCCATTTTTTTCATAATCGATAGGGCATTCCAACGGTGTTATAACAAGCTCTAACGCGTTCAAGTCATACATTGTCTAGAGCAGCTACAGTTCTCTGGGTATGTCCACCTTGGGGCGATTCCTAGGCCTGACTACGAAATTCCGCTATCAAATCCTCCTTTGATCCGCCGCAATGGCACGCTGACGCATTCGACCTGCACGCTTACTGAACGTCTAAAGCCAGAAGATTTTGCGGTCACCCAAGTGCGAGGCGAAACCTGTGACCTCGCCATCCGCGATGGAAACACATGAACAACTACTGATCATCAAGGCTGAGTAAATCAAATGGTTCACAACATTCGCTCAGCGAGCGAGGTGCGTGGCTTACCCCAGGCTAAAAACATGTGGATCATGTGCCAAACTTGTCTAAGTGGGTATTATGTGATCCAACTGTTGTAAGGTTTTCCATGCGAAATGCGTCCAAAGTTTGGCTAGATAGGCCAAATTGTCAAACAAACCAGATTTTCTATTGTCTCCTCAGTACCATTAACAATAACCGGTATGCAGCTATATACTTAAATATGTGTGTGACCGAATAAGCATAAGGTGAAAAATGAATGACAGAAGTTCCACACCTATGTCCACGGAAGTCTTAAGCTGATAAATAATTGCTTTTGAACACACAGGGCCGGCTTCATCCGGCTTATCGCAACCGCCTCGGCGAAACGGAGGAAGCGGGGATTAGGGTGACGTAATACAAGTGTGAACGCTGATCCGAGCTCTATCCGGTGACGCGTAGTCAGTAGGTGTTTACCTATTGAGGAAGCTGGCGATTTGCGCAAGCACGGAACTTCAGTAGGACAGGGATTCTGGTCAATTTCACGATGAACCCACCTTGGCACGTGTTCCTTTATTCGGGAAGTCAAAGACCGATTGGTTCTGCCTATGTAACTGTCTCCGCAGGCGCATACGAATGCATGCATCTACAAGTTTTCGTCTTCTTACCGTGCTTTTCAAATTTCTGAAGGGAAATAACTGCTTTAATCTAGATTTTCTTTGGTTTTGCGCAGAATGCGCGTCTATCTTACTGACGAAATGCGTGTTCTTATTATAACTGAAGTACGGGCAATTACTAACCAAGTTCGAAGGAATGATGACCACAAACCATTACCACAGTTTGAACAAGCATAGCAGAGTGTGCAAGGAAGGTCGCCCCAGTAAACGGTGCCCCATG